GTTAGTGTAGGGGGCGAATTTTTTTCCGTTAGTGTACGAGGTGAATTCTTTTCCGCTAATGTAGGGCTCTATGGCTATTTTTTATTCAAAAAAATTCCATTGATACATACACAACAACATTTAAATCTATTAATTCTAAGTTTAGACAAACATATAGATGGTACATAATATATTTGTATTAATGCTAAAATAAGCTAAAGTTTATTATATGTGGAATAAATTGTTTTTAGAAAGTAAGAAGTAAATGAATTGTGTAATTTAATGTCAACAAACATTTGTATTTTGAATTTATGTTACATGATCTCAATGAAGTTTCAATAGTGTGTTTGGTTTTTAATACAGGATCATTTTGTATTTTACAAAATCGAGTAGTAATTATCTAATAAAGATAATTAAACATCAAACTAGGAATTTTTATATAATAAGTATCCCAAGTCCTAAACAATGAGTTGTTTTATTGTCTATTTGTTTAAGAAATGATATATTATTTTAAATGTTTCTTCTTTTAAATCTCCTATTAAGTACTCTGTATTATATTATGTAGGACTATATATTATTTTTGAAAAGCAAAAGTTAAGGAGGGCGATCACACGTATTTATCTAATTAAAGTATGAACATTTTATGAAAATATTACATATATAATAGAAAATTTTGATCTTCCCGCCCTCCAAAATCCGTCCCTGGTTGTGTATCTCAAGGGCTGTGTGCTATATAGAGTGTGATTGATCTTCTTAATACGGGGACTGTTAAAAAGTTAGTGCATTTGTAAAAGTCACTTAACTTCAAAACCCATAAACTTTTATGAATAAGTGATGTTATTTATACGTAGTATAAATTTACAATCTTTATATGAATGACAATTACCAATTTGTGAAACAGGAGCTTAAACAAGAATCATTATAACGATCATTATAACTCTAAATATCACAATAGATATAGTACTATTCTTACACAAAGGTAATAAACTTTAAAAATCTCGGTCGAAACAAATGCAATGTATGTAAGCATGAATAAGGTCTAAGCATCCATGTTTCTTCTTCACCATAAAACGGAAATTACGAGGATAACCAACAAACTTGATGGTTGTTACATTAATCGATAAATCCAGTTTCTAACAATCAAACAACCATAAGCAAGTAATAAGGAAGAAGCAGATAGAAAGATGTCGCGATGATCAACGAATCTGGTATACCGTGTATAAAACCCCGCTGTTCTCCCTCGAGAAGGAGAGCAGCGGAAACCTTCTCTCTATCTCGCCTCTGCTCTCTGTCGAAGCCTTTTTCGATACTTAGGGTTTCCGTAAGTTAGCCTCCTTTTATAGGAGAGGATGGCTAACTTACGGGTTACAAAGAAGCTAATGGGTCGATACACATTTGTGGCTCATATTACACATCTAAATAATAACTACACTATTACACACAAATACAAAGATATTCAATCTAGATTGGACACCATAAAATATTCCTAACAATCTCCCCCTTGGTGTTCAATCTTGTTTACTCAACATTGCAGCGCGAATATCTTTGTTTGTGAACTTCAGTGTAACTCAGCTTCTTTGTCTTTGAACTCAACTTCTTGGAAAGGCATTCTGAAGAAATCCTAGCAATCTCCCCTTTGATGTCTTCTTGGCAATTTGATCTTTGATGACGGGGGTTGAGGAATCTTCAATATCTTGCATGTAGTCCATGCCTTCCAGAAGTTGCTCTTGATCAGTTTAAATGAAGTCCGGTGGCGCCTCTAGAATGATGTACTGAGGATTTCCAGGCACGCACGGGATTCATCTTCAGTATGAGAGTATTGACCTTTGTCCCCTCCACAATGTAGTTTTTTTGACTTTTTGAAGTGAATGCTTTTGAGGAGAACCTGTCGGTGGCACAGCGGAACATAATGATTGACATGTGAGTGTAGCTGACCATTTGAGTTGAGTTGTAGAGATATCAGAGAAGGTGTTGATTTTTGTATTGGAGGAGTGAAGTGTCCCAGAATGATTTGTTCAGTGTTAACAACATGTGGACCACTCTCCCCCTCATGACGATCCGATGAATCCGGACGTCATGCTTCTATTCTTTTATTCTGCGGAAATAAAATAGGAAAAACAAGGAGAATGTTGAAATGATAAAGTAGCTCCCAGGGTCGTGAAGGCACCCGTTTTCATCACTATAGAGATAAACTCTAAAACAATGGACTGAAAATGTTGGTGATTCTTATGTTGCAATAGCATGACTTCCTACCAATCATTGGTCTACATCTGTAATAGATGAGGCCTCTGGAAGTTCTCGCGGGTCATGATGACCTGCAACTGACTCTAAAAGTGCGCCTGTGTCCTAGAAATTTTAAAACATTTGAGAGTGAGGTTACTAGACATGACGTGATCAATGAAAGTTCAGTGGCATGGGGCTGAGGCCACTGTAGTCAGTATCACTTGCCTCGGAAGGAGACAGTAATGAGAGATGTGGTTCCCCGTGAAATATGATTAAACACCTATTTGTTGGGAGACAAATGAGTGGTTTTGGATAGGGTTCAACATGCACTGTTGGACAAGATGCAGTGACTTCTACCCGGGATCTGATTAAATCAGTCCTGAACCTATGGGGATTGTCCAGAGTATTTGAGTGGCTAGGAGTAAATGTTCAATGGATAGCAGACAATTGAGGTAGCAGACTTATCATTGATTATTGTTTTCTTGCTCACTTGAGCCTTCTGCTTCCTAACGCTCATAATGTTCAATCACTCACTCTCTCACTCACTCACTTACACTCGGCTTTGTCCCTTGGGTAGACTTAGTTGGGTTTACTAAGCCATAGGGACATGTTCTCTCATTACCCTCTTCATTTTCTCTCTGTAATCCCCCTCAACTGGAGCACAAGGTATGCTTTGTCATTGTTAGGCGTCGGGGAGGATATCATTGAACACTCCCCCTAAAATGTTGCATCCTTTGTCGGTGTAAGGCGCCATGAGGAGAAAACTGAAACTCCCCCTCAGAAAGTGCAAGGATTGATTGCTCACAGCTTGTCATACCCGCCATGTGTGTGGAGCAATCTGAACAGGTACCACACATGACGATTTCCCTAAGCTCATCATTCAGAATTTCCACATATTGATGATCACACAATGTTGATGAGTTTGGTGAGGCTTCAGTGGTTAATTGTTGATTGCTGTAAGATGACCGTTGACACGAGGTTGATTAAATTATCTACGATTTTCGGACCTTTATAATGTATCTTAGACCCTATTTGACCTTTTGCTTGACTTTGAAAGAGTTTGATCAGATTTGCCCAAATTGGCCTTTTGACATCGGTGATTTACAAAGTTTTTTGGAAAACAACGTTTTGACCCTCAAGGACTGCGAGTGAGAGCGCGTGAAAGTGGGTTCTGGGGTAAACCCCCAGAACAAATGTAGATCTTTTCATTAGCTTTACAACAAAAAAAAATTCTCTTAAATCGGATCACCGATTCAAAAGTTATGGCCAAAACAGTGCGAAGGTGTTGAAAATCTCAAATTTTTTAGATTTTGAGGGATTTTTTCAAAGTTGGGGTTCTCGATGTTGAATATCGAAAACAGGTGGGATTAAGGAAAATTCTAAGGCTATACCTCGAAATCCTAATCACGAGGTATAAATCTCGAGATTACAATCTCGAGGTTTGAATCTCGAGATTACAATCTCGAGGTTTGAATCTCGAGATTACAATCTCGAGGTTTGAAACTCGAGATTACAATCTCGAGGTTTAAATCTCGAGGTTACAATCTTGAGGTTTAAATCTCGAGGTTACAATCTCGAGGTTTAAATCTTGAGATCTTAATCTCGAGTTTGCCTCGAAGAATAATGGCGAAATTCTCCTGCAAAACAAACCTCAGAATATCGAAATATTCAGAATTTCAAAATGTTTGGAATATCGAAAACTTTGGAGTTTCGAAAACCTCGGAAAATCAAAAACTTGTTGTTTGAAAAACATCAGAACATTGAAAACTTCTAAAAACTTTGATAAGCAGAGATTCATTTAGATATCCTATAATGTAAAGCTACGAAGCGTTCTGAACAAGAAAGATATCAAGTTTAAAAGAAATCAGTGATTCAAGAAACTCCAAACTTTGAAAAATTCAAAAAATCAAGAAATTTTAAAAATCTCGAAATCTTCAGAATGTCGAGATCCCAAACATCGAGATCCCAAATCTCGAAATCCCAAGTTCGAAATCCTAAATCTCGAGATCTTCAAAATTAAAAACTTCGAATTTCGAAAAAGTAAAAGTTGTTCTGTAGAGCCCTTGAACTCGAGATCCTCCTGTATCAGTTTCAAGACGAAATCGTTCCTGCAGTCATGTAAAATATGAATCTCAAGATCTCAATGTAGAGATCTTCGAAACTGAAAAATTGCAGAAATCGAAAACGGAGATATTTAGCTGGATCGGTTTTGAAAGGCGATTCCAGCAGTATAATTTTTACAGTTTTTTGTGCACAAACAAGAGTACATGAGCAAATCTCTATATTAAAGAAAAATAGAAGAAAAGCATAGCAGTTCTTCGTTAGATACGAAAAAACGCAGATAATACAACATTTTTCACGCCTCGAGTCTGATACCAATTGATTGTCCCAAAATACTAAACAATCAAACAATCGTAAGCCGTTAAGAATAACGAAGAAGCAGATACAAAGATGTCGAGAATATGAACCGAATCTGGTATACCGTATAAAACCTGCTACTCTCCCTCAAGAAGGAGAGCAGCGGAAACCCTTCTCTCTATCTCGCCTCTACGCACTCTAAGCCTCAATCGATACTTAGGGTTTCCGTAAGTTAGCCTCCTTTTATAGGAGAGTATGACTAACTTACGGATTACAAAGAAGCTAATGGGCCGATACACATTTGTGGCCCATATTACACATCTAAATAATAACTACACTATTACACACAAATACAAAGATATTTAATCTAGATTGGACACCATAAAATATTCTTAACATTAATTTATGCTAGTAGTACAAGCAATAAATTATCATATGTGCGGGGATATGCGAGGACAATTAAGTTGCCTATCAAATTTTAATTTAATGCCATTACCGGGGTATTGGTTTAACTAGATTTATGAAAAATGGCAACCGTTTTATTTTAGTTAGTTGTGTGTTTTCTTTTTGTTGTTGTATGTTTAGTCGCATGTTACTTGATTTAGATTTACTACCGTTAACAATCAAGTAGATGTAATCGGTAAGAGGTAAAAATTAATGAGACTGGACTTTGCTTATGACGGAGTTTGGCAGACTAATTATCGGTGTTTCCCCGTCCTGCATTATAGTGAATGAATTATTGGAAATGCTTGGTGAAACTATTGATTATGAAATGTGTCCCCAACAGAACAAAAGCCTTGTATCTTGTATGAGACGGATCCATTCTGCTCCATCAACCTGTAATATATTCAGCTGAAAACTAATACATTCGCACTAAAAGCCAACGGGTATCACTTTTTAGAATGAGGAAAAGATGGCATTTCGAAAAGTGATGTTTGAAGTACAAAAGTATTGATTTTTAATAGAAACAAATGATAGCTAAGATAGGTGCAAAACTCCAGACAGCATCACAAACAAAGAGTTGCTAATTTTATTACAGTGACAATGATGATAGTAATACAATTACAACAACATGATGGCATCATTTGGCTAGCAATTCAAAGGTATGCAGTCCCTGGACAGAGCTAATCAAGTACCAGTACTAGTACTTGGAGAATTGAAAGTAGAGAGAAACTATTGGCTTACAAAAGTGAACTCCTCAGCTCCCTCCCTCAAATGAGTTTCTTCATCTTTGACATTTTGAACTAGTACGCATGTTCAAAACGGTAAACACAAATCATTGCTCTCTTCAAATTGCTCCACACATCAACTAATCTCTGAATGACAGGCTTGGAAGAAGAACTTCATCGGGAAAGGAGGGTGTCCCGTTATTTCTTGCACCACCACTTATTTTGAGGATTTTGGTCACCAAATTGTATATCTGAACATTCTCAAAAGATGGAACTTTCCGTCCCCGGGCAAACTGAGGTCCGTGTGCAATAAAGATGGTTCTCATTGAGAAGAACGCATTGTCATACCCATGCGCCCCGCCACACTCTTTTTCTTCTGCATTTTTCTTCGTCTTCTCGAGCTTATATGCTTCATCAAGTAAACCTATAACTGCAGGAATCCTATCACTGCCAGAATAATGCAGCCTGTTAGGAAGCTCATCCTTTAGATAGACTTTCAAATACTGCCCATTCTCAACGCTCCCTGAACTTAAGCCTTCATTCATCTTGGAAACAATGTCCTTTGCTGAATAATTAGCCGGTGGACTAATTGCAAGTAACGGAGTATAATCTTGGACCCAGCCCTCTGGAATTTCAACCCAAGGAGCTAAATCATCTAAAAAGATTATCTTTTTGTCGCAGGTGCCAACCATCCCGTGATCACCCACCATTATAATGCTGACATCATCAAAAATTCCCCGTTGTTCCAGCCCGTGAATCAACCTCCCGATCAAACTGTCGATTCTACCGACTGCATCGGTGATCTGAGGGTCATCGGGTCCCACAATGTGTCCCTGATGATCCGGGTCTTCGAAGTACAACGTCATGAATGAAGGGATTTCATGATCGGGAAGATCAAAGTAACTCAACACAGTATCAACTCTCTCTTGGAAGTCCACAGAACCGTTATACGGCTTACAGTAGAACTCAGGACATTTCCATGAACCTTTCTTTACCTCAGAACCGGGCCAGAAATAAGTTGAAGCCTCCATACCGTGATTCACCACAGTCTCCCAGAGTGGCTCGCCAAGCCACCACTTTGGTTCATGGCTTTGCATGCTGAAAGACTCGCCAGTTTTCGGATCAAGAAAGTGATTGTTTATAATGCCGTGATAAGCAGGGTATAAACCAGTTACAATTGAATAATGGTTAGGGAAAGTCAAAGTTGGGAACACCGGAATTAAACCCAACTCCGCTTCTGTCCCGTTCTTGACTAACCTATCAATATTTGGAGTGTGGGTTTTGTACTGATACCCATATCTGAACCCATCGCATGAAATCAAGAGAACAACTGGGTGTTTGAGCTTGGTCAGCGGCCTAGAGACCTCATCAGCAGTAGTAGAAGATGGTGGGGAGACGGAAATGGCGGGTGAGAAGAAGAGAATGAAAAAAGTAATAGCTGTAGCTGCAGAAAGAGTGATGCAAGTAGTAACCATCAGAGTGGTAAAAATCATATTGGGTTTCCATTTTGCTTTTTCCGTGGAACGAATTAGGGTAATAGGTTTATTGATTGATGATAAGAGTGAGAATGAATCTGAATCCATCACTTCTTACACAGTCAATAACACAAATACCTTATAGGTCGTGCTAATCTCACTACCGCAACAATAGCAAGAAGAAACCACCGAGACCGAAATTTATTGTGTTTACGATTTACCTGCGACTGATAACGAACGCGAGCCTCTCACAGAGCAAATCTTTGACCTTTTCATGGGAATGGAATTTTTGAGTTGAGCGTTGTTTGATTAGCCGAGTGAAGTAATCAGTGAGCGCGCGGTCAATGGAACAAGGAGAAAGAAAGAGTTAAAACCAATGGCAAGGTAGATGCATCCCAATTCATAATCTACTAGTCGCACTCTCTTCTCTGCTCGCTATTCAGCTAGGAAAATGGCATTTGTAGTCAAACAAATACTACTCCCGTCCCGTGGACTTTGACAAGTAAGTGACAAATAAGAACAATAAAAACTGTGTGGTTGACATTTATGCAGAGGAGAGAGAAATATGCAGAATCACAAATTATTTACTTTAATTGGAAAGTGACAAAGTTTATTGAGACAACCAAAAAAGGAAAGTTACCAAAGTCCGATGGGACGGAGGAAGTATTCTCTAATCCCTTGCAACTTTTTTTCTTTGGATGGTCCAATAATTTTGTCATTTTCTTTTAAGTAAACGATTTGTGATTCCTGTTATTTCTCTCCTCTCTGCACAAACCTCAACCCAGGGGCGGATCCAGGATCGAGAGATGGGGTGGGCTAAGCAGCAGTAATTTTTTTTACTATACATACCAAATTTAACCCAGGGTTATTATCGAACAAAGATTATTTTGAATTATATACTCGAGTTCGAGCTTGATTTCGAATCTAATTTAATGAATTGAGTTTAACAAGTTTCGAACTCGAACACGGAGTAGGTTTTGAGTTTGAATAATTATTCAAACCGAGATCGAACATAGTGATGTTTCGATCCGAACACAAGCCTATCGTTCACATATAAATTATACTATTGTACATATCATAAAATTTAAACGTTTTAGTGCAATTTTTATAAATTTATTAATGATTAATAAAAATTTGAATACTCTAAACTTCTACATTCGAGCATGTCTATCGAGCATTGAAATCCAAATTTGAGATAGTTTAGATTTCAGGGACTACAACATGTGGAGGATCCTCATTAACTAGATCTTGCACTGTTGTAGGTATAGGTTCAGAACTCCCTTCACCAGTTTGACGATTCACTTTCGAAAAGAATGATGAAATCAACTTCTTTCCCTTCTTGGCAACATGTTCATTATCCATTCTAAAAAACATTTTCAATATTGGTATATATTAAAATACTTATATATAAAAAATAAAACTATTTAACTATGTACTGAAAAATTCAATTAATAATCAAAACGATTGTATGATTCCCTAGCCCTAAAACTCTAAAATGCTAAAAATAATAATAATTAATACATTAATAGTTTAATACACAATCGGTTAATCACAGTTTACAAATTCACGACAGAAGTTCATAACTTCACTGATTCACAAATTAAAATTCACGAACTACACAAATTAAAATTCAACACCAACACCAAACTCAATCGGTCAAATAATACCAAATGGGCACAAATTACTTGGTAAAAGGGCAAGACCGCAAGAAGATTTACCTGGAGGAATGAAGGCTGGCCGCTGGACTGCCGTCTGCCGGAGTGTCGGTCGCTGGAGCCTGGAGGACTGGTCGAGAAAGCGAGAGGCCGAGAGAGGGAGGATGGAGGCGGTCAGGTCGGTCGGAGCCAGAGGCGTTCGGCGTTCCGTTCGCTGCTTTAGTGCGGCGGCTGTTTCGTCGCCCTTCGCCGTTCGCCACATCGCCCGTTTCATTCGTTGTCTTCGTCCCTTCGGTGTTCGGAGAATCGGAGGTTCCGAGGTTAAGTTGCCGACTGCGTGTGACCGTGTGCGTAACTGCGTAACGACGTATGGCTTAGTTGCCAGTTTTTTTGTGGGCTGGGCTGGGCTGGAAATTATTTGTGGGGTGGGCTGACAAATAATTTAGGCTGGGCTGAGATTTGAAAATGTACCAATACTATTAAAAAAAAATTGGGCTGGGCTGAGGCCCACCCCTGGCCTAGCATACATCCGCCCCTGCCTCAACCACAGAATATTTACTTTATTAATCCCGTGCAGGTCAAACTCTCTTCATCCGTTCATTAAAACTTTGTCAACTTTCCTTTTATGGTTCCAATTAATTCTATCTCCACTACAAAAACTTCAGTCACACAGTTTTTAACTTATTAATCTTCGTGACGGTTAAACATGACAAAGTTTTAAGGGACGAAAGTAATATCTTCCTATTTTCTCATTTCGGATAGGGATGGACTCGGGTCCGGGCCGGGTCCGGGCGGGCCGGCGGTTCAGAAATGGTGGACCCGGGACCGGCCCGAATAACCACTGGGTCCGGGTCGGGCCATGCCGGGCCCATTATCATTTTTTTGTTTTCCTCTTCCTAATTAACCCCCCTCCCACCCCCAACCCCCCAAACCACCCCAAATGACCCAAAAATACCCCGCCCAACCCAAAAATTTTAAAAAAAAAATGAAAAAAAAAGTTTTTGGGCCGAACCGGGCCCGAGCCCGACCTGGTCGGGCCTTGTTTTGGGTGACCCGAGCCCGAACCGGAAAACCCACGGGCCGGGCCTACCCGGACCGGTCACTGACTGGGCCACCGGGTCGGGCCGAGCCGGAACAGTACCGGTCTCGGGCCGGTTCCAGGTCGGGCCACCCGGCCCGAGTCCATCCCTAAATTTTCGGATAACCAATTAAGGATGTGTTTGGAACTGATCATGTTTCTGCTAATTTTTTAAAAAGAAGCAGAACCAGAATCAGTTTTCAGAATCTGGTCTCCTCACCTTTTAAAATAACTAATTCCAGGAGTAAATTAGAATATCAGAAATACTTCTGCACTTTTAGTCAAACACTACAACTTCTGATTCTGCTCCTTGAAGGAACAGATCCAAACAACCTCTATGAGATCTTCTTCTCTTCATTCTCTTCCTCCCTCTTTTCCATCTTTTTTTGTTTATACATCGGATAGGCCATCATCTTCTTCTATCCTTTATATTTTCAAAAAGGTTATTTCCAAAAATGTGACAACATTTATATTTTGACAAGAATGTGACTAGATGGTTATATAATTGACAAATATTTTTGTCACTATCGCCACCACGAGCTACAGTGACACCTCCGTAATGACATTTTCATAGTGACATCTCAGCCCCAACCTCCAGCTATAGTGATATTTTCGCAGTGACACCTCTGTCATCCGACCACCACCGCCAACTATTGATGGACTCGGGCCGGGTCGGGCCGCCGGGTAGTATGACATGGGCCCGGGACCGGCCCGAGGGTTGGACGGGTCCGGTCCGGGCCGGGCCACCCGCCCGAGTCACGGGTCGGGTCCAGTTCGGGCTGGGCCGGTTAAATTTTTTTTTATAATTTATATTTTATAGTTTATAGTTTTATACGAGTATTAAAAACAAACTTCAATTGCATTTATTTGAAATGAAATAGGAACTACATTTGAAAATTAAAACAAACTTTAAGAGATAAACATTTTGAAAATTGTAATCAATCGAAACTTCCCGCACCTTCCGATCCTTTGGCTTTGTCACATGACTTCATATGCTTGATTGTCATCCCGAATCCGCCAGAAACCCCCATGCTACATTTTTTCTCGCACCATTTGCAAATTGCGTACCACATCCCGGTCTTCGGGTCCTTCTGCTTATCAAAATTATACCGTATAATGACATCTTGATTTTCCATCTTAACTTCTTAAGTATAAACTATAAAGTAGATATATAAATAATAAATATAATATATTGGAGAATAAGAGAATTAGAGAAATAGAGAGTAGAGAGTTAAAAATAAGATTTAGGAAGAATTGGAGAAGAGATGAAAAAATGTTTAAGATTAGGAGTATTTATAGGTTTTTTTTACCCCCACCCCCCCACCCCCCTTCCCACCAGCCAACCCCCCCGGACCCCCCCTTTACCCCACCCAACGGCTATATAGCCGTTTGGGTTATCCCCAGCCCCACCCCCACCCCCAACGGCTAGTAGCCCAAGAGCCCAAACAATTTTTTTTTTTTTAAATAAGACCGGACCCGGGCACGGGCCCGACCTGGCCGGGCCGGGTCACATTAATCCAGCACCGAGCCCGCCCCGCCCATTCCCACCGGTTCGGGTCCATACCCGTTCCCGGACCGCCCGACCAGGCCGGTCCCAGGCCCGCACAGTACCGGACCGGGCCGGGTCACAGGCCGGGTGGCCCGAACCAAATCCAACCCTACCGCCAACCGCCACAATAACACGCCATCTCCGGTGTACCCTAATCCATCCCTCACCTGCTCCTCACTGCCCCATCCCCAGCCTATCCCAACCATCACCATGGACTACCACCATGGACCGCCGCCGTCAACCACCGCCCCATCACGGCAGGCCAGCAGCCACAGCTTGACTCCCCAACCCCGTCATAAAATTTTAAGAAAAACAATTAAAAATAAAATTTTAATGATGCTCCGCACTCAAAAAATAAGTAGAATGTCATTTTAAACAATGAGACAACTAATAATAGAATTACCACAACCAACATCTATGCAAAAAATAGACAGCAACTGTACTTCGAACAAGTAATGTCAAATGTATATAGTACGGGCTACGGAGTATTGTATTAGTTTTGGTTCATTGCAAATTATACTAGATATATTCAATTTTGAAGAAAAATGATTTAACAATTGAATCATTAAAGCATAACTGAGTATTTGATGCGTTTGTCTGCTAGTCTTTTACTCCGTATTAAATAACAAATTGTTGAAATCTAAAGACATTTGACATCCAATTGTGAATAAAAACTCACTTGACCTGTTCTATCTTATTTACCAAAATTGAAGAGAAGAAGAAGAAAGCTGTAAAGTTACAATGTACATGTAACACTCTTGACCCCTAGAAAGTCCAATGGGGAGGGTAGTCAGGCAATTTGCTTCACACACTGCAAATTATTTTGGCCCACTGATCCAAATAGTAGAAGTAAATTCATAATTTGGTTCATGTCCGGAGTGTGTATACATCCAACCATCACAAGTAAATAGTGTTCTGAAACAAAAGTATTGTCCACTGCCATTGTAATGCCTAGCACCATGAATCTTGATAGTTTACTCTGAGAATCCAAGGAGGATGAAATTAGTTATAAAAATTGTGAATTACACACACATTGTTGCCAAAGAAAAATATTGGGCACCAAAAAAATTTCCCATTTCCATTTTAAGGAAGGAATTGTGGTGAATATAAACCCTTTTATTTATAAACAAATCCCAACCATGTAACTTAACTTGCCTAAACAGATAGCATAACAACAAATGT